CCCCTCCCCTCCCCTCCCCTGCCCTGCCCTGCCCTGGGGCGCCCGCTCACCTGCGCGCCTGCCCCGCTGCAGTGGTGAAGCGGCTGCCGGAGCACGTGCAGGTGGACGACCCGGTGGCGCAGAGGAAACTGGCCAAGAAGCTGGAGCGGCAGCAGGTGGGGGCTGCCAGGCTGGGCGCAGGGGCAGGGCAGGCAGCAGCCGGGCCCTGGGGCTGAGCCTGAGCCGCGTGTCGGCGCATCCACATGCAGGTCCTGATGCGGCAGGACTACGGCCCCAAGGTCAACCTCTTCTCCCACCTGCACCAGTACAGCCGGAAGAAGCCGCTGACGCAGGAGATGAGGTGGGTGCCCCCCGCCCTGCGCTGGGCCTAGCAGCCCCCCGTTGCAACTCACCCAGCACTGGGGGCGCCGCGTGACGGGGGAGCCCTGACAGATGGTGGGGAGGGGGGTACCCGGGCCACACGTATGGGATGGGTGAGAGCTGCTGTGACCCACGGAGGGCACAGGTGCCCTGGCTGCCGGGTGTGCCTCTTTGCCCCGTGGGCTCTCACTTGTGCTGCCCGCAGCATCCCCTCCACGGTCATCCACCCGGCAGTGGTGCGCCTCGGCTTGCAGTACTCCAGTGGGCTCATCAATGGCTCCAACACCCGCTGCATCGCCCTCCTGCAGGCCTTCAAGCAGGTGTGTTGCTCCCCGGCACCTGCGGGCACCCTGCCATGCTGCACCTTGGTTGCTCCGGGGGAGGGCAAGGCAATGGGGGCTGGTGCTGCACCATGCCAGGGCTCACATCCTTCCCTCCTGGGCCCCAGGTGATCCGGGACTACTCGACGCCACCCAACGAGGAGCTCTCGCGGGACCTGGTGGCTAAGCTGAAGCCATACATCAGGTGAGGGCCAGGTCTTACAGGGCTGTTAGTCCTTCCCTCCTACTGCCCTGCCTGGGTCATGCTGGGGCAGTGCCCCCAGTTTGTTCAGGCAAGAGGTTGGGGGAGGACTTCTCAGTTATCCCTGTCAGCGTGACCTGGAGCTCCCCAAGGACTCTGCCTCAGCACAAGGGTATTACCCCCCCTGTGATGCTCTGGAGCTGACCCTTTGTCTCCTTGGCAGCTTCCTGATCCAGTGCCGGCCACTGTCTGCCAGCATGGGCAACGCCATCAAGCACCTCAAGAAGGAGATCTCAGGTCTGCCAAGCACCAAGAAGGAGGAGGACGTGAGTTCCATGCTTGGGGGCCTCGCAGTCGGGAAGCCCGCGGTCGGTGGGCTCGCCAGGGGAGGGGGGTGGGCAGGTCCGAGGGGTCACTGGGCATATAGCTTGGCTCGTGGTAGCACTGAGGCACTGTCAAAGTCTCAGAGACAGAAGCTGCAGTAAGAAGAGCATGAGCGCAGCTGGAGAAAATGGATTACGAAGGAAGGGGCTGGGGGCACAGAGGGTCCATACCGGAGCTCCAGAGGGACTGGGGTGGGAGGTGGTGGAGCTCACAGAGATGTGCCGGCACCTGGAAACCTGCCATCACTCTGGGGGCTGGACAGCAGCGAGCTTCCTGCCTGCGCTTAACCAAAGCCAAAGGGTGCTGGGGGCTCTCACTGGCTCGTGCCTGCGAGGGCAGGACAGGCAGCGGGTGCCCCAGGGTAAGGAGACGTGTTAGTATGGGCAGGCAGGGCAGGGAACCCAAGGTATTGAGGCCCCCGGGCAATGGTGCCATCTCTCTGCAGGCCAAGAAGGAGCTGCAGCACTTCATTGACCAGTTTGTGCGAGAGAAGATCTCCTTGGCCGCGGAGGCTATCTCCAAGTATGCCCTTGAGAAGATCAAGGACAATGACGTCATCCTGGTGTATGGATGGTACGGTGGGGGCAGGGGCTTGCTCGTTGGGTGGTTCACCTGGGTAGGAAGAGTGTGCGGCCTGAGCTGGGGGTGAGCTTCGCTGAGTGGGAGCATGGGCTGCGATGGGGACATGGGATTTGTTTCCTGGGAATGGGCCAGTTCCAGTCCATTGTGTCCCAATGTGCTGTTTCTGGGGGTGGCTTCTCCAAGGCAGGGAAACGTGTGAGCAGCAGGACCTAGGCAGTATTAGTTTCATGGTTTCTAGGGTCGGAAGGGACCTGAGCAG